GTCGGTGCTCTGTTTTGAGTGTCCTGACTGCGAGAGAGCACTCCTCTGGTCGTTAAATAATATTTTAACCGACGTCCTGAGATATAATTGGTCTTTTTAGTGATGAACACACTTACCTACATTCCATGTCATAGTTCAACTACTAGGGCGTTATCAGTCAAAGTTAAACCTGGAAAATGGAAAATGCCGTCCAATGTATCAATAATTCAGCTGTTGCCATTGTGAATTGGGATAAAACCAACAAGGAGGGCGGGGGATTCCAGTGCAAACGGACACGCGGTAAAACTTGTAACGTTTCGCAGACAAATTATTCGCCGGAGAGGGGTAGGGGCATACAAATGAAGAACACCCAGAGTATTAGGCGTAGTATATCTGTAGTGCACCAGGAGTACTGTCAGCCCGGGACGGTAATGCTACTAGCTCTTTTTGTGAATCGTCGATGCAACGCCTCTCTGATGCTCAGAAACAACTCGGCTATGACGTACCTTCTACCACACGCGCCGCGACGTGCGAAGAGGGACTGCGTTGACAACTGAAGGCGGAAGACGCACTGAGCCCTCTGATCGACCGCCTTATCAGTAGTACCAAAGAGAAGAGACAAGCTGATAGTGCTGCGTTGCGTAGGAAAGAACTGGGAAGGGGGTCGGCTTTTATGGTTTTATGGCAGCTTAACTCCCTTTGGGCGAACTGCCTCAGCTGAGGTGACGAGGTACGCCGCACTCAGAGACGTCCCATTTCTTGAGGTCAGAGAGTGACACGCAATGACTTGACACAGCGCATGGCTGTCGGACACTAATTTTCTGGTCGATGTTCGAATATTGGATAACATAACAGAAAAAAACGAAAACAAAAACAAAGAGAACTTTTTCAAAGTCTCTGGAAAAGATAACAAAAAACAGTTTGGAAAGTGCCGCGGGTTACACGAGGGGGCCACTCTTTCAATTATTGTACACAGGATTACATGATAAAAGGGATTGCACGTGAATTTTGAAGGATTACACATGAATTTTGTTGAAATTCTGGCTCTAAAACCATTAAATTTGGATAATAAGGTGAAATTTAGAGATAATGGTTTAAAATTTGGTCAAGTATTACACGGAATTACATACTCTGGAAACCCAAGTGTGTACTTAAATGCAGAATATTCTATACCTACATGTATGCAGAATATTCTGTGTAATTGGCAAGTATGCAGAATATTATGTATACTTGGGCAAGTAGTATGCAGTAGATGGTGTGTACTTGGTCAAGTACACACCAAGCCTCCTGCATAAATGTATGGAGGTATGGAGGTTTTAGTGTGGACTTGACCAAGTACACAGAATATTCTGCATACTTGACCAAGAACACAGAATATTCTGCATACTTGCCAAGTACACAGAATATTCTGCATACATGTAGGTATACAGGAGGTACCTAATTCAAGTACACACTTGGGTTTCCAGAGTAGGGATTTCACCCTCATCTGTAAGGGAGGGTGGGGTCCCATGATACATGGGGTCCCATGATACTTTTGCGAGATCTCGAAAACAGCAGTTGGCAGCGCCGAAAGAAAAATTGTGTTGGTAACCCTACCAGGTAGGTAAATGTTTGCGGCAAGGCAGTGACTCACACCATCAACACACTCGGCGTGAACGGCGGCATATTATTGGAAGCCTATTTTTTCAGGTAAAATAAATATTTTTCAAAGACGGCACGTTCGCTTTTCGTACCTCAGAATTATTCTAGACCTTTGGCTCTTATGCCATGCTATGCGTAGGTCTTTTACCGTTATTTTGAGACCAGACCCGATTACATAACCCTTCTGAGAAGCACACTAGAGTCATTTGAATGAAATTATGTACCTTGGGGTCCCATGATACATTTGGACCTGGGGTCCCATGATACACCTATATTTTGCCTATTCTCGGATCTATCACGTTTAATTTACAGTTTTATCTGTGCCAACAATTATTTACTACTTTCAAATATGATTTTAAGTTGTTATTGTTGACTGAAATGAATAAATTGGTTTACAGGCCTCCTCAACATGCCCCGTAGCAAGCCGAGGAAATCTGTTAAAGGAACATTTTCCCCAGAAGCAATGAAAGCTGCCCTAAGACAGGTATGCTGTAACATTTTACTTCATGTGTTTCTCTTATCATGCATGTCAGAAATTGTAACATGTTTACTATTTGCAGGTACGAGAAGGAAAATGTGTCAGAACTGCAGCCACTCTAAATAAAGTAAGCCACATGACTTTGAAGCGGTACGTGAAGCTGAATAAAAATGTGGAGAACTTGGATTTTGCAGTAGTCTCTCCCAACTATTCAACGCGTCAAATTTTCACCAAAGACATGGAGGACTCTCTGAAGGGATATATAATTGAGTGCAGCCAAATGGGATACGGACTCACAGCACCTGAAATTAAAAGGTTTGCAGTTCAGTTTACAGAGGTTAACAAAGTCCCTAACATTCCGGACTCATGGAAAGAGAATCAAGCGGCTGGACAAGATTGGTTTCGAGGGTTTATGTCAAGGCATCCTGACCTATCTGCTAGAAAGCCTGAACAGTGCAGCATTGCACGTGCCATGGCGTTTAACAAAGTAAACATTAGCAATTATTTTGACAAGCTGGAATTAGTCCTCAAACGCCACCCTAACTTTGCCAATGGAAGTAGAGTTTATAATTTGGACGAGACTGGTTCTACTACTGTGGGTGATATGAAGAAAGCCAAAGTCATTACTGAGAAGGGTGTGAAGCAAGTTCATCAGATAAAAAGTGCTGAGCGTGGGACACTAGTGACCACATGTTGTATAATTTGTGGTAACGGGACTATGGTGCCTCTAGTTATGATATTCCCTCGTGCTAAGTTTACAAACAACATGCTTATCAATGGTTACCCTGGTACTCTAGGCTTAGCAACGAAGAATGGTTGGATGATCACTGAAAAGTTTTTGCAAGTAATTCAGCACTTTGTTGCAAAAACCAACAGCTCCCCAGAGAACCCTACCCTGCTCATACTTGACAATGTAGCATCACATCTTAGTATTGAAGCAATTAATTTGTGTCGAGCAAGTGGAGTTACCCTATTTACTCTACCTCCTCATACTACGCACAAAACCCAGCCTCTAGATGGACCCTATCAAGCAGCTTACAGCAGGGCATATAATAGTTGGACACTTGCTCATCCAGCCCAGGTCTGTACCATCTATGATGTTGCTGGACTAGTGAATGAAGCTCTTTGTAAAGTAGCCACACCAACAAACATATTTTCAGCATTTAGAGCCACCGGTATATACCCTTTCAACAGAGATATATTTTCTGATCTGGAATTTGTTCCAAGCAGTGTTACAGAAAATCCTGCTCCTACTGCTACAGTCAATGAAGAAGAGCAAAATGATAGTGAGGAGGTTGATAACCCAGGAGGTGAAGCTGAAGTAGAAAATTCCCAACTAGTCACCCCTAGAAAAGTAAGACCATTACCTAAAGCAAAGCCCAAAGAAACTACGAGGAAACCAAGAGAAAAGGGTAGATGTAGGGTTGCCACAGACACCCCAGAAAAAAGGGAGATTGAAGCAAAGGCTGCAGAAAAAAGACAGAAAGAGGCTGAGAAAGATAAAAAGAAGAGAGAAAGAACCCAGAAGAATTTAGAGAAAGTTATAGAGGGGCATAGCAAAACAAACAAGAAGAAAACAGCTAAGAAACAAACCAAAACTGCAAGGAAAAAGAAAGCTCCCACTCCCCCATCTACAGAATCAGAATCAGACCTACTAGAAGAGGAAAGTGAAGAGGAAATGTGGGAGGGAGATGAGAATTATGAAGATGATGAAAGTGAAGATAGAGAATTGTTTAAACCTTTAGAAAAATCTCCAGAAGAAGGTGACCACATAATTGTTGTCTTCCGTGGTAAAGAGGATAAATATTATGTGGGCAAAGTCTTGAAAGAGAAGGATGAGGACGGGGATTTGGAAGTCTCATATTATCGCCAATGTACCAAAAGGGTCTACAGCTTTGTTCTTCCAAATATTCCTGACCTTAAAAGTGTCCATATAAATGACATTGTAGCTATACTGCCTCAGCCACATGTTGGTGGCACAACGCGCCAAAGAAACATAATTTCTTTTCCTTTTGACTTCACTAGAATTCGCTTAGGCTAGAAAAGTGATAATTATTTAAGTCTAATTATCTAGTCTTAACTAGTGTGCATTTTAAAGAGACTGATTTCTTTTAATTAATGTGATAGTACATACTGAGATATGTAAGTGATTGGGAGCAAATCCCATTAAAGCATTTATTGTTCCTTTTTGAGTTTAAGTATTTACCAAAGGAAATAGTCAATTATTTATATTTCATACCAAAAGTTACCTTTGGAAGAAAATTTTTGTTTAGATAATTAATAAATGTACTAAGAACTCAACTCTTCTGTTCATTTTACCTATTTAAAGTCATATTCTGACAAATTTGTGTACTTTCTAAGATCTTTTTGAAATGGCCACTAACGCTAAACTATACATGCGAAAAATACAGGGGTGTCAATTGAAAGGTAAAGGAAGATACTTTCCAGCGCTACCACGACAACTCGAATATCTTGAAAACTGTGGCCTACAGGAATGAAATCCAAAAAGTGTATCATGGGACCCCACTCTCTCTTAAACCTTGCCAACTTTTGAGTTTTAACTGTATCCAAAATTAAACTAGCTGATCAATTCTTGGTTGATTTTTTGCCCCTTCCGCTTTTTATTTACCTTTCAGGAGACACCATATCACACAAAAAGAAACAAAATTACACTGGAAACGCAAGTGTGTGGATGTCGCTCACTTGCAGGTGAGCGAATATCCATTCGCACACTTACAGGGGCAAAGGTGTGAATTTTCTAGGAAATATTCAAACCTTTACTCCCCGTACCAAGCAGTAATGAGCAAAATGACCCCGCGGTTGCTCTGGTACACCCACCACCAACCACATGGGAAGTGGTCAAGGCTGGGTTTCACATGAGACAATCCAGGTTTAAGACTTGCAGACCTGAGACTGGACTGGACCGGGCATAAGCAGGTCGGTCGGAGGGGCACTGTTGAGGAGGCGGACAGCGCCGCGCAATCAGCCCAGCCGCCACGTCCTGGAGGATATGCAGTTAGCGTTAGTCGAAAAGGGTCGACTCTTCCCTTGTATTGGCAACCCTGAAATCGGAACAGATTTCCTTCTACCCCCACCCCACCCTCCACTTGTACCCCGGCGAACCGTAGCGCTGCGACTGCTGGTCACATTGCTGCTCAGTCCGTACCAATCGCTCGAGGAGCACTGTTGTTTGTCTGCCTGAATTATTACCTCATTCGAAACAATGGGTAAGTTATTCTTCCCCGTCAAGTAAAGACCACGGTGACCTTAATTTACAACCATTTCATCAACGTTTTGCTGCGTCCCCGTCATTTAAACAGAATTATGGCTAATATCACTCTGAGTCGTTTCACCACGAGTTCGGTCTCCCAGATCCAGGGCTATGACTCTTCCCACTCTTATAGTTACATTACGTGAGATGCTAACCCTTTCATGGGTTGTTCGTGCTTTTGCGCTTTTAGAAAGGCGCTATTCCCCTCTATAGATCCTATGTTTCGACATTTTAGTGTCACCACAAGGGCTCTTAAGCACTAGCCGCAGGGGTGTTCGATAGCACCTTGTTTTTCCATTGTTCTCCTCAGACTCCGCATTGGTTAATATAGTTCCGAGTATTGGTTTATCACGTCAGTTCGATTTGAGTTAAATCAGCGGTGAAGGGACGCTGAATTTTGTGTGGAAGCACGCTGAAACTCATACCGCTGACTATGAATGTGGTTCTGAATGTGACTGTCGACGGAGACTGTGACTGTCGACGGAGACTGTGAGTGCCACTATGACTGTGAGTGCCACATTCACATTCACGCATTTGCTGCCAATGTGACTTTGACTGCCACACACCCTCAGACTCCGCATTGGTTCCTAAAGTTCCGGGTGTTTGTTAATCACGTCAGTTCGATTTGAGTTCAATCAGCGGCGAAGGACGCTGAATTTTGAGTGAAAGTACACTGAAACCCTTACCGTTGACTATGAATGTGGTTCTGAATGTGACTGTGACTACTCCTGATCAACTCGTAGTCTCAATGTGACAGTGACTGTGATTGAATTTCCGATAACTTAAGTCGGTGATGACAGTCCCGCAGTGCAGCGCTCCGGGACCCTAAGCTTCATCTCCATTTTCCTAAACTCCCTTGATGCTCCCCCCCATTATGATCTGAGTAGGACACCTGATAGGTGGACAATTTGTATTGCAATCCACCCGTTAGTATGGAAATATCGTGACATGAACACCCCCCCCTCATCAAGGACTCCGGAGGAATGTCCCGTTCGCAAGTTTTGTCCCGCCGGGGTGTTGTCTATGGTCCGCGGACAACCCGCTCCCGCTACGTGCTCGGCCATTTCTTAAATGCTCACAGTGCAAATAAGTTTTATATTATTTCTTGTGCTTCGACTGTTACAGACGACCAAGAATTTTTGGATCTGTTCGGGGAGGAGGAAACTCAGCGAGTGGGAGGGACAGGCCCAAATAACTAGCCTTCGGATCTCCTTCAAGGCGAAGGCAATGATGCGCAACTTCGTGGCCCTGCGCCGCACACTTCGGGTGGCGCAGCACCGGCTCAGGATACGGATGCACCAGTAGTCTCAAGAAATATACGTGCAGCATGTATACGTACTGGAACACTTTGGTGAGTGTCTTACAAGATATGCAGTTAGCGTAGCAGCTTGTGTTGCGATATGCGTGATGCGGTCGAGCTACGTGCGTCACGGTGTCTCCACTACCCAGGTAGCAAAACTTGGCCACGTGAAGTTATGACCACCCATTAAACTCATTTTTTTTTTAAAAATGTGCAATGAATTGTTCACGATTTGTTCTTTACTGTTCCATAAAAAGTTTCGTTTGTTCCGAACTAGGACCGTCGTGGTTCAAATTCCGATCTTGGGCGGTTTGTTCTTCACGCATTTCTTAACCGCCTACGAAAAACTTATGATTCATTTGTTCTTTTATTGTTCTTCATTGTTCCAGCAATTAAATCA